AAAGAATACGCACCACTAACAGTTTGGAGATGTCTGGGAGTTAGCTGCTGCAGACTGCACTAGACTTTCAGCTAAGACAACCATAGGAGGTATAAAATATGTCATCAGTGCAAATATAAGAAAAGCATATATAATGCAAATTTAGTATGTGCACATTAAATAATTTTGTTAACAGTTTTACTATCTTTCTCAAGTAAACTTAGAAGGTACTTAGTTTTCTAATAGGAAAAAAAATGTGTTTAATGGCAGTTTTCAGACATACTTATCCCTCAATCTACTTCTAAGTAAGTAACTACGCCTGTTAATAGTCACGTTACAACACAGTATTGGAAACACCAAAGGAGTATGACAAACAGTATGGACCCAAATGAACATTTGATTCTAGTCTGCATCCTTCCTTGTGAAAATATGGTGAGAATGTTTCCAGGCCTTCATTAAAGGAAAGTGTGTTTTTGTTTGATTTGGTTTTTTAACTTAGGGTCTTAAAATCTAGAATTAACCTACTGGAAGTTGTATGAGTGACATGATAGACCAAATTACTGCCCTGCTTGAATGATTCTTGCCTCTTACTGGTTGTCTGATAAAAAATTACCAGAAGTTGAAAGTGGAAATGGCTTAAATCCTCAGTATGTTTAACATTATCTTTTTTAGTGGAATAAAATATTCTGAGCATTTCTTGCTTGTCCTGTTGGTGCTTCTTTTAAATATAGTGATAGATTAGTATGCTTTATTTAGGACGTGTAATATGTATTAATTTAAATATTCGGAATTAGAACAGCTAACCATTTATCAGTAAAATATAAGTGGAAACTAGTGGAAGTTTTTCTTTTGCTAAATTTAAACTGGTGTGTGCGGGTTAATTATTTTGATGCATGATTTTTCCTTTTATAAAATAAAGCTTTATAACTTATTTCAGGAGCTCTGGTGGCATAGTGCCTAAGGTGTTCTGCTGACCAGAAGGCTGGTGGTTCAAACCCACCAGCTACTCCTCAGAAGGAAGATTGAGCAATCTACTTCCATAGACATGCTGCCTCGGAAACCTAAGGAGGGGTTGCTGTGAGTCAAATTGACTCGAGGGCAGTGAGTTTGGTTTGATTTATAACTTACTTCACTGATTCTGTGTTAGGTGCCATCGAGTTGGCTCAGACTCATAGCAACCCTGTGTACAACAGAACAAAACACTGCTCAGTCCACCACCATCCTCACAATATTTGCTATGCTTAAACCTATGGTCGCAGCCACTGTGTCAGTCCATCTCATTAAGGATCTTCCTCTTTTTCGCTTTACCAAGCATGATATCCTTCTGCAGGGAATCTTCCTTCTGACAATATGACCAAAGTAGGTGAGACGATGTCTGGCCATTCTCACTTCTAAGGACCATTCTGGCTGGACTTCCAGGACACATCTGTTCATTCTCCTGGTATTCCATGGTATTTCAGTGTTCTTCACCAACACACAATTCAAATGCATCAATTCTTAGGTCTTCCTTACTCATTGTCTAGCTTTCGTGTGCATATGAGGCAACTGAAAATACCTTGTCTTGAAGCACCTGAGTCTTCAAAATGGTGTATTTGCTTTTTAACACTTTAAAGAGGTCTTTTGCAGCAGATGTGCTCAGTGCAATGTGATATCTGATTTCTTGACTACTGCTTCCATGGGCCTTGATTGTGGATCCAAGTAAAATGAAATGTCAGGCAACTTCAAACTTTTGATTATAGGTAGTCAATATTTTCTCATAAAACCCCCTCAGAAGAAGACCTCAAAAATCCAAAGGTGATTCTCAACATTCAGATTGAAAGTATTTTTCCCCACTTAGTCCACTGAGAATACCTCTACTACAGAACATTTGTGCAGACCCTGTCCTTTGCCCTTATTTGAGTGCCTCACCTTCCCAGACTCCTTACAACCACATACCAATTTCTCACACTTGGCTCATGTTGGAGACATTGCCAATTTCAGAACCTTTATCAAAATTTCTCCAAGCAGAAAACTGCATTTTCTTCATAGATTTGAAGATCAAGATGCTCTAAGAGGTGGTGGTTTTAGTGAATGCCTTTGTCTCTATTTTACCAGCAGTCTGATGCCCCAGGCCCAGTTAGGTAGTGACACAACTTGGTTATCACACACACATGAAGTCACTAGATTGTGTGTATATGTGAACAGCCCTGTCTACCCATCCACCATGCAGTTAAGGCAGCTCAGGAACCTACACTCCTACTTCACTGTAGTGCAGGAATGTCCCTGTTTTGCTCTCTCAGCCTAGTATGAGGTACTGAAAGCTCTAGCTTCACTGTTCAAAATGTGATCTGCCTGGTCCAGCAGCATCTGAGTCTTCTGGGAGCTCCTTATATACATAGAATCAAGCCCCATCCCAGACCAACAGAATCTTGAGTTTTACCAAAATGGGGGCGGGGTAGCTTGTATGTCCTACTTCACAAAAGGAAGGTCCAAGGACAGGTGTGGAAACCAAAGCCCAGGAAAGCCTTAGTTTTCTTTCTTGAGCACTTAGATGAATTTGTGCATATAAGTTCATGGTTTAGGAACCACAGATTTTGTATCGATAATCCAAAGTGGGCAGATTGCACATTTATCTCCTGATTTAATTCCTTAAAAGTTCCCAGGAGGCTGCACTCTACCCATTTTCTACCCTTACCACCTTACTTTATTTTAGCATTCTTCATTTTTAAAAGTCAGTTCATGGTGGCAGAAATGGTAAAGGCTCAAAAACAGCCTAAGGTCCTCTGTCCCACTGATGGAAGAAGTGTACCTGCCAGAAGAAGCACTCAGGAGCAGAAAAGCTAATGATTCAAGAAAAGGTGTGTGTGTGGGGGGATGTGACCAAATAAGAGCCAAAGCCGGTCATGGGCTATTTGGCAGAGGAAGGTAAAGGGCAGAAAAATGTATCCAATGGTGTCATAGTTACTCTCCCTTCCCCCGCACCCAAACGCCTCAACAGCTAAGGCTGCTTGTTTATGGAGGTTTCTAGCCAGGAGCTGAGGTTTGCTTTCGAGAGGGAAAACGAGTCTGGCTTTATTTTTCTCCCAGAAAACTGCCTCGGCTTGAGTCTGGGACATCTGGTCATCAACCTGTCCACCCAGCGTCTCCCGCGCTGGGCCTTGCTCGCGGCGCCCTGCTGGAAGTCGCAGCTGATGCCCTCTGCAGCCAAGGCGCCCAGCCCGCCTCGGGGGGCGCAATCTGGACTGAGCGCTGACCGTTGGGTCCACCGAGGCACCTCTCTAAAATATGCACTACAGCCGCGAAGCTGCGAGGCGCCAGGTCGAGTCTGGTTACCCCCTTTCCGCCAGTGCTCAGGACCCACCCAATGCCCCCCAGCGCCACCCCACTGAGGGAGCTGCCCTGGCCAGGGAGGGCAGATGCGCAAGTTCGAAGGCAGGGGCTGTACTCGGTGGAAGGTGCCAGGCCGCGCCTCTTCCCGGGAAAGAGTGGATACCCCTGAGGTTTGTACCGGGCGCGGCGGCTCACGGTGCGCTCCCCCAGTCTCTCGGGTGGCAGCTTCCTCTCCAACACATCAGGGTGCTAGAGAGCGCACTCTCGGGCCGGTAGCAGACGTTAGACAGCCTGAACTGGGCGCGCGCGGGTGGTCCCGGGTCGTAGCACCCGGTGCAGTTGGGGTCGGGCGGAATGGGAGGTGGCCTCTCCCACTGCAGCCTGTCCCAAAAGCTCGCGGGGCCGAGCTGGCTCCCGGGCGGCGCTCCTCATTCCAGCGCGGTCGGCGTCGGGCAGAAAGCCGCGGGAGCGCAGGTGGGCGGGTGCTGGGTCACAGGAAGCAGCTTTGGGTGGGTAAAACCACCGTTTCTCGGTCCTCTGGTCTAGGGCGAGAGCTGGGCTCTTCTGTGGAGTCAGCACTGGGACACATCTCTTCTCCCTACACCTCAGGGGTGCTTTGAGCATCGTTCTATTTAATTGTGCCAACATCTTTTAAAAGGGGTTCTATTCTCTATTTTTCCGTAGATTCTTCCTCCTTTTAAAATTACTGGCATGGGTTATTCTTCTCCCCTCCAGATTATGTAAACATCACACACACACACACACACACACAGAATCTCCAGTAAAGATTCCTGTGTCGACACCACTTCCACTCTGTCTCCCCAGATCAGCACTTCTGGCGAACCCATTTGCACAGGGACTCGGCCCTCTTTTCCTGGCGAGGCTTTTGAATCTGTTGCCAAGCCAGTACCTCAGAGAGAAGGAAGTGCAGTTGGGACGGGAGGGACGCATGGCGCCTGCTCCCAGTTAGATGCTCTTCAGATAATCTGCAACCAAGCTCACTGATAAAATATTTAGTAAAGACCCTGTAAACATCACTGCAAATACATTAAGGCACTTCAGCACGACAGCTTATGATTATTTCAAAACTTAAAAAGGAGATCATAGATTGTCACTGTTTCTGTGCTTAACCAAGAAACCGAACCTTCCCGAGGTGGGTGGATGGGTGGGTGAGTTGCTGCCTTTCGCCCCCACTTGCCCCTCCCGCTCACTTCCATCGCCGTGGCTCTCAGCAGCAGTGATTTATTTATTTATGTATGTGGTTATAAAGCGGGGGGAGGGGGGCGCGAGGACACGCAGGACCTGCTCACAAAGGACCGGCTCAGGTGTTGTGTGTTTCTGTATTAACTGGAAAAGACAGACTCTGGAACTTTTACAGGGCGAGAAGAGGCCACCGGCTCGTGCTTTGTATACTTTGCACTTAAAATCGTTACATTCAACTGAATATTTGGCTCATTCAGATCCGAAAAGTCTCCTAGCATCGTCGAATCCCCTCCTCCGCCCCTCGGTTCGAAAGGGAGGGATGTGGGGGAAGGTAGGAAAATGTTTAGTAAATTGCACATCTTTTGAATCTTCCTAAAGCAGTGGTCACAAAGCTTAAAGGTGCCACAACAGGGCTCACGTAAAACCAACACATATTCGCCACCCTCCCACCCCCAAGCCAACAATAAAATCATCCCCTTCAATTTGCCATGATCGTCGCGACCAGGAGCCAGGTGATTATCCTAATTAATGTCTATCTAATTAAATTACTGTCAGCAGTTAACCAATGGCAAGAGCCGTTTCATCGGCTGCACAAGCAGCAAGATCAAAAGTGAGCCTTTTCTGATTGCTGCATAGTGTCAATTGGCCAATCTCTTCTCCCAGAGAAAAAAAAAAGTAAATCAAACCTTTGAGAAGCATTTGCTGGTTGAAGTGCTTTCGGTCTAGTGAGGGGGTCTGTGGATTTCTAGTTTATGATAAATAGGACTTTAAAATCCAGGGACGGGAGGGCGAGCGTTCAGGTTCTAGAGCTATGCAGCTGGAGCACTGCCTTTCTCCTTCTATCATGCTCTCCAAGAAATTTCTGAATGTGAGCAGCAGCTACCCACATTCAGGCGGATCCGAGCTTGTCTTGCACGATCATCCCATTATCTCCACCACTGACAACCTGGAGAGAAGTTCACCTTTGAAAAAAATTACCAGAGGGATGACGAATCAGTCAGATACAGACAATTTTCCTGATTCCAAGGACTCACCAGGGGACGTCCAGAGAAGTAAACTCTCTCCTGTCTTGGACGGGGTCTCTGAGCTTCGTCACAGTTTCGATGGCTCTGCAGCAGATCGCTACCTCCTCTCTCAGTCCAGCCAGCCCCAGTCTGCGGCCACTGCTCCCAGTGCCATGTTCCCGTACCCCGGCCAGCACGGACCCGCGCACCCCGCCTTCTCCATCGGCAGCCCCAGTCGCTACATGGCCCACCATCCGGTCATCACTAACGGAGCCTACAACAGCCTGCTGTCCAACTCCTCACCGCAGGGCTACCCCGCGGCCGGCTACCCCTACCCACAGCAGTACGGCCACTCCTACCAAGGCGCCCCGTTCTACCAGTTCTCCTCTACCCAGCCCGGGCTAGTGCCGGGCAAAGCGCAGGTGTACTTGTGCAACAGGCCCCTTTGGCTGAAATTTCACCGGCACCAAACGGAGATGATCATCACCAAACAGGGAAGGTAATGCTACATTCTTGTTGGCCGCTGCTCCAGGCGCTGCCCGGGGGCGAGGGCTCCGGTGCTGTGACCGCCGAGGCGGCGACGATTTGGGTTTGGGAGCGGAGCGAAAGGCGCTCTGGTGAGCCCTACAGCTGGCTAGTTTTTGGAAAACGGGAAAGTGGAAGGGATGATCACCGCTGGGGTGGGGGCAATTTCTCCATGTGACCAGGGGATCCTGCTCTAGGAAGGTGGTCGGAGAGCCCGGCCACTCCACGGAGGAAGGCCAGAGTGGGCGCCCGGGCCGGTGACTCGGCACTGCTCGCGGCGGGGCGGTGAGAGGGACCCATCACCGCACCGTTGTACCGACGGGTAGATGCGCCGGTCGCCCACCTCGCTCTGCACCTGGGCAGGGATACCTGTCGGCCGCCCAGCCCACCTTACCCACCTCACCTGCCTCTCCTCCCCGACTTCGGCCCCACTTTTTTTTGTCCCCTACAATCCCTTTTCTAACCCAGCAAACATTCGCTTATCGACGTTGCGAGAACAAGTTTTGCTTTGCTATGTGGCGCCTCGCTTTCTGAATTTAATCTTTAACATTTATATTTCTGTTCTCCTTGTTTTCCTCCCCCCCCCCCTTTAATTTAAATAGGCGCATGTTTCCTTTTTTAAGTTTTAACATTTCTGGTCTCGATCCCACGGCTCATTACAATATTTTTGTGGATGTGATTTTGGCGGATCCCAATCACTGGAGGTTTCAAGGAGGCAAATGGGTTCCTTGCGGCAAAGCGGACACCAATGTGCAAGGCAAGTCCTTCCAATTAACACGTTTTCCTGACACTTATTTAGGTGAGAATGATTAATTAAAGCCTTTGTGGACTGGCTCGAGCGACTTTTAAAACGATCGGCCAATGACTTCTAAAAGGAAACGAGGGGGACAGGGGGACAGACTGAGCGGTGAGAAGGGGGAGGATTATGCAGAAGCTATCTTAATCACCCCCAGTTAATAGGAAGAAAGCGCGGCCTAAATAAGCGCCAGCTAATGGGCCTCACAGTGTGTGTGCGTGTGTGTACACGTGTGTGTGTTCTACGTGGTGAGGAGTTGGGACTGGGCAGTTCCGGGGGCATATGTAAACAACGTATTTCTTTCTCTAGGAAATCGGGTCTATATGCATCCGGATTCCCCCAACACGGGGGCTCACTGGATGCGTCAAGAAATCTCTTTTGGAAAATTAAAACTTACTAACAACAAAGGAGCTTCAAACAACAACGGGCAGGTCAGTGGCTCAAGCGCTCCGGCATTCTATCTCCTTCTCTCTCTCATACATACGCACCACACTCGTCCCTTCCTAAGCTCCCGTTAGTCAGTTCAAAGCGGCATGCTTTATGAAGATTTTTTCTTTAAAAAAAATTCTCTTTCCACCCTCTAAAATAATACTGAATCTATAAGCTGGTCTCCCCGCCTCCCGCCCAATCTGTGGGTTCCTGACCTTCCCAAGGAAAAAAATACTTGATGGACTTTGAGGAGACCCACAAGATAGACAGATTGTGAGAATCTTTGTTTCTCCTTAGAGGGGGAGTAGAAGGGCCGGGAGAATCGGGAGGGTCGGGTTTCGTTTTCGCCTGCTCGGCGGATCCTCGCTCTCCTGGGTGCAAGGGCCACCCTGCCGCCAGCCCAGCCCCACGAGTCCCACCGCTAGTCTGGACCAGCTGCAGGCTCAGGTCAGCCTGGCGCGGCCGCCCAGCCACGCGCACACCGACCACCTTAACGCGCCGCCCCGCGCTTCTCTTTCTCTCCGTGGGACAGATGGTGGTTTTACAATCCTTGCACAAGTACCAGCCCCGCCTGCATGTGGTGGAAGTGAACGAGGACGGCACGGAGGACACCAGTCAGCCCGGCCGTGTGCAGACATTCACCTTCCCTGAGACTCAGTTCATTGCCGTCACTGCCTACCAGAACACCGATGTAAGGAGGCCGGAGGGCTGAGCGCGCGGCGGGCCTTGCCCAGCATTTCTGGGTATTCTCGGTCGCCTCCGGTACCCGTGGCAATTCCTGGCTCGGGCAAGAGCAGCCCAAACAGCAGCACTGGAAGCTGGCTTTGGCACGGGTTTTAGGCACAGGACTAGGGGCGTGCTAGGCACCCTCCCTAAATACCAAGCCGCCGGGAAATGACTCCTATTTGTCTCCAACACGGTTCCTTGGCGGTGCCCAGGATTTCTAGGGCCTCTTCTGTGCGTTTTAATTTGGACCTCAAATTAGGGCAGATTAAAATCTACTTTTTTTGGTTAAATTTTTTTTCTTCACCTCCCCCCACTCCCTTGCACTTTATTCTTAGAAAGCTTTGGCATTATATATATATATATATATATATATATATATATATATATATATATATATAAAACAAATTCTTAAAATTGATGGATGAAATGAACAAACATCACTGTTCTGGGAGATAAAAAAGACATATACATTCATATATGTAAAAATATAATAAGTCAAATTACTTGGTGCTGTGGAATGAGTTTTGTAGGACTTGAACTTCTTCAGCTTTTGTAAGTTTACAAAAACTAAGCTGCTGGCTTGACTAGGAATGACATTTTTTTTTTAACTGAACTGAAAATATCAGAAATAAAAACATGGTAAATCAAAAATGATTTTAAGATGCACATTGTAGGTTCTTCTGATGGTGAGTCAGATAGTATCAACTTTTAAAATATGGTGAAACATTTAAAATAGGCAACATTTGGTGATAAATTCAAGTTCCTCCTAAAGATTTTTGTCTGAAGAAGTGCCATGTGTGTAAAAAGTATTTTGAAAATGTGCATTTGAAGCAGTTTAGAACACCTAGGAGAGCTAATTGAGAGCAAGCCTTTAGTTTTAGGCATCATTAATTTGAACACATAACTTTGTGACACTTTCTCTTTTTCCTTTACATCCATTCTCTCCATTTTTTCAGAAAGTGAAACTTTGCTATTTAATCAAATTATAGGCTCTCAGCCCCTAGAAAAAGTGGCAGATGCTATACTCAGTCCTTCTATATGGAAGTGGCGAGCACATCATCTTTTTTTTTTTTTTCTCTTTCCCAGATTACGCAGCTGAAAATAGATCACAACCCCTTTGCAAAAGGATTTAGGGATAATTATGACACGTAAGTAATTTTGCACCTTCCTTCTCAAATAGTTGTGGAATTGGGCTTGAGGTGGAGGGTGACTTGTTATGTACAAGGCTTTTGGAAAAGAATGTGTGAAGATAGTTTATGTGTGTATTCGAGGTTTTCCCTTTCCTTTTTGCTGGCTCCCCTTCTCTCTGGTGACCTTCTGTCCTGGTACTTGTGTGGTTTTGGTCAAAGTTTTCTGTCTGGTGAATTACCAAGTTGTTGCCTGCCTAGTTGGCTGAGGAAGCTGCCCTGGTTCCCTGGTACGGGACTTCTATGTAGCGCTACAGATGCTCAGCTCAGATTGTATCTGAACCTGGCCTGATTCTGCCTGGAAGTGCATGTGGCTCTGGCAGTTGTTACAGTTTCCTTGGCGTGTGTGACTTTTATTTACCCATTTCCAAGTTTTGTGTAACAACGTTTCCTGTGCAAGTTTACTATGGATGGAATAAGTGTGCACTCACTAAAGGCCAGTTTATGAGAACCACTGCTACAGTCATCTCAGGCTTTAGGAAGAACTCAGGTGCCCTTGCTGAGTATTACTTGTAAGCCTCTAAAGAAAAATATTTCCTTTGTATCTAGGAACATGTTGGTTCCCTTTTCTCTAAACTCCCTTGTCTATCTCCATTTGTTTTCTATCAAAAGACTGTTCTCTGGGGTCAACAGTAGGTGTAAACTGAATGTTTCCTGGGCTTGTTCTAGCATTGTCACTTAGGAGCCAGGCACAGTGCCTGAGTTCAGATAGTGTTATACTGTAAAAATCTAAATCTGGATTGGGGGTTCTCTACTGTTTTTCTGACCATATAGGGAAGGGTATATGAATGTTAATTTGACAGCTTGCATGGAGTGCTTGAGATCAAGCTATAGAGTTGAAGCTATCTTTAACTAGGAATAGATTAAAAGTGTGGAGAAATAGAGAAATGGGCTGCCTGTATTCCATCTCTAGGCAGATAGCAACCTTCTCAACTGATATAGCAAACTCAAAAGAGAATCATTGATGTTACTACCTATAATCATTTTATGCAGCTCTCAAAAGTAGTCCAGAGGAAGCAAGCCTCTTAATAGGATTCCCTAGCATAAAAACTTGGCTACTGTAGTCCTCAACAACCTAAAAAGGTGGGCCCAGCACAGTGGAAAGTGTGTGGCCCAGGAGACCAGAGATGTTGGAGGAAAGTGCTGTAGATTTTGAGCTTTTAATTCTGTTGTGAACATCTGTTCAAAAGCATTTTATTTTACACAAATCAATTCGGTAATCCCAGGTGGGTTGGGACCTGGATGGGTATCTAAACTGTATCTTTTGCAGACTGCTTTTTTTCTTTTAAAAATATTATGGTGATAAACAGAGAAGATATTTGCACCTTGCTAGTTATGTTCCCTTCCTGCCTCTCTCTTTCCTTATTTGAAACTGGAATTAAATTTTAGGAGAGAAATGTTGTGCAGTAAACAGAATGAACCTGAGCAGCAGCAGGTGCGTAATCCTCTACCTCTAGCTATCTTCAGTTGGAAAGCAAGTTCAGATAAGAGATTTTGTCTTAAATTACTAGATGTTTTTCATAAAGCACTTCTTTACCTGTATAAGCAGATTCCTTAGACTTTTAAAGGATAGGAAATAATGATTTACAACATTCTCCCTTTCCCCTTTTATGTTGGTTGGATGGGCATGGCTATGGCTCAATTTTGGAGAAATAGGGAGAAGCACAAATGCTGAAAAGCACTAGGTGGTTGCTTTGCCACTCACCAGGGAATCTCCTCCCAAAGGATTAAGGTCTGACAAGAATGAGACTTTCTCTCCAAACAATCTGTTGATTAAAGATTAAAACCTTTATGTGTGAGTTAAATAAAAAGGGAGATGTGTGTATGAGAAAACACTTACACCAATCTTCACCCAATCCCTGGTTCCCTCTCAATCCTAACAGGATTTTCTAGGTCCGAGGCCTAAAATAAATCGTTGATTATTCTACCTAAAGTAGTTCCTAGCAACACAATCACTGCCCATGACCTTGGGCAAGTCATTTACCTTCTCTTTGCTTCAGTTTCCTCATCTGTAAAGTGGGATAATAATGGTATTTAACTAGGATTGTTGTGAGAGTTAAATAAGTTAGTAAAGGTATAGTGCTAGACAACTGTGCCTGTACATAGTTACTCTCTATAAAAGGGTTAACTATCATTCGTGGAGGATTGCTTGGGGAGGGTAGATAACTCTAGTGTAAGAGTTTGCCTCAAAGTTTTTGTCAGTAATAGATCAAAAGCTGGAAGTATAATACTTTTTCTTTGTGAAAGGTTTTTGCTTGCGTGGATTGATGATTATTTTGTTTCCAATTAGTAATTTTTATTTGTATTGGTAGAGGTGGGGATTGAAGGTTCACACTGGGCAAACAATAGACAGGGAAAAAACAAACAAACAAAAAAACAAATACACTGTAGACTTCCAGCAACAATCCTTGGGTCTCAAAAGAATGGCGGTGGCCCGTCTTCGATGGCTATCTGAGCGCGCGCGCACATATACTCACAGTTTTTGCCTACGGGTTTCTTAAACACTGTTGCAAGAAAGGAAAAGAAATCTTAACAACCCAATGGCAGAAAGAAGGGGATTTTTTTTTTTTTTTTAATTTTTAAAGGCAGAGGTGAAAGTATCTTGTTTAAAATTTCACTCAGAAATTTTCAAAACACAGGAACGGTCCACTGGGCAAATGGCGCCCTATTCCTTGGGTAAATCTGCCTTAATTTGTATACATATGTTGGAAAAGTGGGACGAGACCCCCTGCTGTGTTCCTCTGTCCTGTGTCCGTTTGGTGAGAGAGCAAGGGAAGAGGGAAGCCTGGCTCTTGCTCTGTAACTCGCACGTACACGTAACTCCACGATTTATCTTGGGGGCCAAGCAGGTCTTTGACCCTTTCTGTGTCTCCATCCCGGACAGCAAGTTACAAATGGCGAGGGTGGGGGGAGGCGAAATGTGGAGGTGGTCTTCCCTTTTGCCCCCCCTCCCGAGGGACCTTTGCGCCACTCCTGGGTTATTTTTCTCTCACCTCCCCGCAGGATCTACACGGGCTGCGACATGGACCGCCTGACCCCCTCGCCCAACGACTCGCCACGTTCGCAGATTGTGCCCGGAGCCCGCTACGCCATGGCTGGCTCTTTCCTGCAGGACCAGTTCGTGAGCAACTACGCCAAGGCCCGCTTCCACCCGGGTGCTGGAGCGGGCCCCGGGCCGGGCACGGACCGCAGCGTGCCGCATACCAACGGGCTGCTGTCGCCGCAGCAGGCCGAGGACCCGGGCGCGCCGTCCCCGCAGCGCTGGTTTGTGACACCCGCCAACAACCGGCTGGACTTCGCCGCTTCGGCCTACGACACGGCCACGGACTTTGCAGGCAACGCGGCCACGCTGCTCTCTTACGCGGCGGCTGGCGTAAAGGCGCTACCGCTGCAGGCAGCCGGCTGCACCGGCCGCCCGCTCGGCTACTATGCCGACCCGTCGGGCTGGGGCGCGCGCAGCCCCCCGCAGTACTGCGGCGCCAAGTCGGGCTCCGTGCTGCCCTGCTGGCCCAACAGCGCCGCGGCCGCCGCGCGCATGGCCGGTGCCAACCCCTACCTGGGCGAGGAGGCCGAAGGCCTGGCGGCCGAGCGCTCGCCGCTGCCTCCTGGAGCCGCTGAGGACGCCAAGCCCAAGGACCTGTCTGACTCCAGCTGGATCGAGACGCCCTCTTCCATCAAGTCCATCGACTCGAGCGACTCGGGGATTTACGAGCAGGCCAAGCGGAGGCGGATCTCGCCCGCGGACACGCCGGTGTCCGAGAGCTCGTCCCCGCTTAAGAGCGAGGTGCTGGCCCAGCGGGACTGCGAGAAGAACTGCGCCAAGGACATAGGCGGCTACTACGGCTTCTACTCGCACAGCTAGGCCGCCGCTGCCCGCCCTGGCCCCGCTACCCGCCGCGGCCCGGACCCCAGCCTGCCCCTCACAGTTCCTCCCCAGGCCCCACCCTGCGCATCTCCTCATCCTCATTTCATTTGACCCTCGATTACCGTCTGCAGCGAATAAATGCAGGTCTCCGAATAAATGCAGTTAAAGTGATTTTTAACTTTTTTTTTTTTCTTTTTGCACAGCAGTCACTGCAATTAGCTCACCGACCTTCAACTTTGCTGTAAACCTTTTCATTTTCCTACTTTCTCTCCTGTGAAATTATCCTCCAAACAATCCTCCTCCCTCTTGTCTTTTTCTCACCCCATCCTCTTTCTTGTAATGGAACTCTTCACCTTTAGGAGACCTGGGCAGTCCTGTCAGGCAGCAGCGATTCCGACACTCCAAGTCTCGGGCCTCCCCATTAACCATAGGATGTTGACTCTAGAACCTGGACCCACCCAGTGCGTCCTTCCTTATTCCCGAGTGGATGGATGGATGGATGGATGGTAGGGATGTTAATACTTTTAGTGGAACAAAGCCTGTGAAAAGATTGTACATAGTGTTAATTTATTGTAACGAATGGCTAGTTTTTATTCTCATTGTCGAGGCACAAAACCAGTTCATGCTTAACCTTTTACTTTTTTTCCCTTTTCTTTCTTTTCTTCTCTTCTTTAATTATTTAATAATAGTTCTTTTTTTTTTTTTTGCGAGATAACAATATTCTAAGAGGCTCTGGAAACTTGAAACACTCATAGATAGTAATAGATTTCTCACTTCTCAATCCGTTGCATGAAATAATTAGTTTGTGCCCTATGCCCACAAAATAGCTAAGGAGAATCCACCCAAACACCTGTAAAGGATAGGTGTCTGTTCATAGGCAAGTCGATTATGTGGCATGGTGCCTGCAGAGCTAAGTTAACTGGAGTTGTATGTTTTCCCTTCATTACTTTTAAATAGAATAGTTCACATCAGCAATATTATTTTGCCTTATTTGTTTTTCCCCAAAGTGCCAAATCCATTACTGGTCTGTGCAGGTGCCAAATATGCTGACAAACTGTTTTCGAATTATCTTTTCAGTCCCCCCTCCACCACCTTTATATGCTGTAAATCTTTGTATGAATACTCTACTAATAATATAGATAACTGAGTTGTTGGTAACTATAGTGTAGTCTAGTGAAGATGAATTGTGTGAGGTGTATATTTTACTGCATTTTAATTTTGAAAATGATTTTTCCTCCCCATCTAGAAACAGCTGAAATCTGACTTCCTTGGGAAAGCACTAGCATTAATGCGAGTAAAACTGATTTTTTCCCCCCTCTTAGTCTTGTTATATTTGATAAGGAGCATTAATCCCCCTGGAAATAGATTAGTAAAATTTCTAATGTTGTGTAGCAAGCCTATACTTTTTTTTTTGTTATTTTAAAATTAATGTGAAATATGCATCATACACAATATTCAATCTAGATTCCAGTTCACGGGGGGAATTTTTTCCTAATAGGAATTCAGGGTCTAAACGTGTGTATATTTTGGCTCTTCTGTAAATCTAATGTTGTGATTTTTATATTTGTTTTGTTTTGTCTGTGAACTGAATAATTTATACAAGTATACATTCCATTGAGAAACGTTTTGTTTTTTGCTCGTTTGTATTGTCTGTGTATAACAAGTAAAATAAATCTGGTAAAACGCTAACTATGGTGTTTGAAAGCAGTTTGCAGTTCGAAAATAATTACTATGACTGGTTACTTTTAAGGGTTAAGGAAGGATAGCACGTCCCACTCCAATATTGGACAGTTGTATTTCACGGGAATCACCTCCATTTCCCGCTCCCCCTTAAATTTGTTTGATAAGTTACCATTAACTACTTTTTCTTAATCTACAACAATTACTTACTTCCCTATGTTTCAAGTTTCACCTCGCTCATTTTTTTCCCCTAGGAAAATGTATGCACTCTCCCCATCGCATCTATCTGATTCTCTCTGAAGCTGGAAATCACGGAAGTAGGAAAGGGAGGGTCTTTAACTCAGTTAAGAATTTCTTTAAATTCTACAAAGGCGATAGGCATTGGGTGAGAGTAGGGAGTAATTTCAATGCATGTTGAAATAGGCTGTTGATCGCAGCTTTAGACAGATGTCGAATATCCCAACATTTAATATGAGGCCTTCCTTGAAAGTGAGTGGCGAATCTGTAAATGCAAACGCTGAACGGCCTACATTCCTTGAGTGGCTGATTTCAGGGTATTAGGCGGGGTTCGTTTTTTTAACCACTGCAACTTAAAATTTGCATTGGGAAGTATCTGGGGGCACCATTCCATCCCTTGTACAGTGGAATCCCTGTGCCAGACCTGCCCAGGTCAGACCCCCATCCCTTAGAACAAATGCAGATATTCCAGCCTACAAGTCGCTGCGTACGAGTCAAGAAGTCCACAGAGTTCTCTCTCCCTTTATAAACCTCACAGAAAAGCGATTATTTTGGCCTTTTGTCTCCAAAGTGAGAAAACCCAGGAAGGAGATGGAAAATGGTTCAACATTTCTTGCTTAGTCTGGGCTGGCTGGTTACGGGGCTAAATTTACCACCACCTAGAGATATTGTCCTGTGTCCCGTTTGCAGGTTAACAGATGTAAAAAGGCCTCAAATTCCAATTAGAAGGAAAATTAGAGGGAGGGAAAACCGGCTTGCAGTCCCTGGACATTTCTGCCACTAGACGGCGTTCCTCGGAGTTGTATCTGCACAGAGAAAAGCGATGACTGATCTTCCTTTGTTTTTCTTTCTCCCTCCCAACACCTAAGAACTAAACAAGAGGCTGAAAAGTACAAAACACGGTGCATGTGTAGCAAGTGAAGTCTAGCAGTGAATTCTTGTAATCACCAATTCGTTTTCACTTTCTGCGACCCCATCCATCGCCTGGTCCCGCCGAGGAGAAGGCGCACGTGCAGTCGGGAGGGCGCCGGGCCGGAGGGCTGGAGGGCACGGGGCTTTAGGGCCGAGAGGGCTTGGAGGTGCGAGGGCGCGGGGGCGTGTAAGTTCCAGGGCTCCTAGGCCAGGGAGGCTGCGCCTGGTTCTTCTGGGTCACAGGCCTGGCCGCGGGGGCGCGTGTTTCCCTGTCGGGCCCAGCTTGCCCTTGAGGCAGAGTCGCCGTTTGAGTTTTTAAAAGAGTCTGAATCTTGGGCGTTAACGAAGCTCTTAGAAGCCATGCATAGATTTCACAGGAACGCAGTGCCTTGTACTGAAAGACGCGCTTTAGCTGATATTAGGAAGTACTGAAAAAATTGGGGAGGTCGTTTCCCTCGCAGCTCCGCCACCATCTGCTGTGTGGACTGAGTCAGCGTGAGGTAAATTTGCAGCTACGCGCTTCTCAATGAGGCAGTGTGCTTTCCTGTCCCTTTAAAGCATGATCATTTCTCCTCGCTTCCAAGAAGCCTTGGGTATTACTGGAGTGACACTGTTAATGTATCTATGAAGCTGTTGCTGTTCAAGGGAGCTGAGAGTTTGGATTTGGGAGGGTCTATGGGAATCAAAAAGTTCGCATCCGGGGTTATAATTCGAACCGCCTTTTTAACTCCTCGCGGCTGCGTCAGGGTAGGGGTCCGGGTAAGAGCGGAGAAGGATGACGAATCCTCGCCGTAAACTGTAAATTGCTTCAAATAATTTTCAACAGTGTATTTTCAAAATGAGAAAGGAAGAAAAATGGCGAGCGTGAGGCTTGCACGTAATTCTTTCTTGTGCCTTCCCGCCACTCGCAATCCGCGCCATTTTAACTCATTTTGGACCGCTCGGGGCTGAGCAGGGCAGCCCGCGGGCGATCTTGGGCAGAGAGAGGCTGCGCCCTGGGTTTTTAACTCTCGGGGAGGGCGTAGCCCGTAGGTGCTGAGGCCGGGTGGGAACAGAGCGCTGCGGCGGGAGCTGTCGCGGGGGCGGCAGGAGAGGCCGCAGCTTGGCCCCGACCGAGGCAAAGGGTCAGGCCTGACGCCGCCTGCGCAGCGACCCAGTTAAGCGGGGCACTTGGCCCGGAGCGAGGGCGTTGCGAAGGCTGGTCCCCGCCGCAGAGGCTGGGCCGGGGTTCTTTTGCATCGCCGTCGGGCCGTCGCCCTGACTGTCCGGGCCGCCGGTGCAGGTCGGGCTTCAGGGCTGGCTCCAGGTCGGGGTCTAGGCTGGGATTTCGGCCGTGCGTTCAGGCTGCGGTTCCAGACTGGGGTTCAGATCAGAACTCCAGGGCGGGAGTCCAGGCAGTCTCCCAGCCCCAGGAGCCTGATCGAGCGCGGCCCACAGCTGTTACCCAGGCGTAATGGCGAGGCCTCCCTACATCACAGCGCCAGGCCCAGCAATCAGGACGGCTCGGGAAGAGACTACTACGAACTTCCTGAACAGTTTGTTTCAAAACTCTGCTTGTTTTTGTCTCGTGAGGACCGACTTAAATCACCCAAACGTTTACATTTTAAGGTCTATAGGAACTTCCTGAATTCCATTAGGCCCTGCATCTACATTGAAAGAAAGAAAGAAAAATCCTATCGCTAAAATTGTGTTCCACTCTTTCTGGTGATGTTACGTATCTATTTAGCCCTGGAACTTTAAAGATGTTCTACTCTGTTTAGTGTGCAGGCTAGGAACAAAAGCGTTTGTTGAATAGAGGCCATTTATATTCTTAGTTTAAAATGCAATATAGTGCTACTTGATGGCGCAGTGGTTAAAGCACTCGAGTGCCAAGAAAGGTCAGCGGTACAAACCCACCAGACACTCTAGAGAAGGATGTGGTAGTCTATTTCCATAAAGATTTACAGCATTGGAAACTCTGCGGCATTTCTACTCTGTCTTATAGGGTCCTGTGATCACGTTGGGCTCGACTCCTTGGCAGTGAGTGTTTTTTTTTCGGATAGTGGTGCTTGGGCAATGTGTTTGTGCTCATAAGCAGTTTTATAAAATGTTCAACCTATTCCCAGGTGCAGCACCCTTTTTTGTGAATATGTGAACTGTTTTATCATGGAGGCGTTTTAGCCATGGGGATAGGACAAGGACGTACAACCCATTATTTTGTGCAAACCAATCTAGATCCCCCAAAAGAAACAGTAACAATTATTACTATTAGACATACCTAGTTATGAAGTCAGCAACTTTAAAGTCCAGTGATAAGCACGCAATTAAAAAATGTTATTTTTTTTTACTCTGGTATACTGGCAATTGCTTGGCTGATTGAGAGATTTTAGATTTTATTGAAAGATTAGGTTTTAGTCTAATATCAGTAAATCATTTTTTAAAAGATAGCTGAGAGTTCTTAAGCAAGTTGAATTTATATGATTTATTGAAGTTGCAATCTAAGTGCACAATTTACTTTGGACAATCAGATTTTCTTTTGCCAGAATAACAAAATAAGGAGTCTCTAGGAGGGAAAGACAGAGACAAGCTAGGTAAGATTTTAGGTATTGCCTAAAATTATACTCAGTTGCTTTGAGATATGTGTGTCTTTCTGGTTCCCATCTTCAGCTTGTATGTTAGGTTGCAACACATTAGAAAATATATTCACTTGAAAGAAAACCCCACTGCTTTCACAATAAAGTAAACTTGATGGTGTACAAGTCACTTGTCTCATCTGAGCTGATTATATCTGCCTTGCATGTATTTTACACCCACAGTATGGTTTGCAGCAGTGTTCAAGGCATGGCGTGAAAAATTTGATTTGAATAGTTCCATTAAAGCACTGAAAAAAACCATGGCTTAATAGTCCTTCCAGTGATAGCTCTCTCCCTCTTACTATGCTAACTCTGAAATAAATATGTAATCTAGTATTAGGAACCCAGCATTTAGAAGACTCTTGCTGGTAATATTTAATTTAATAAACATACTAACTGTGACATTATTAATGCAATG